AAGATGAATGGTTTCCCGTGCGTGAAGCAAGCGCATATGTCATTGATGTATAGTGTAAATAGGAGGGGTCCAATGACACTACCTTGTACTACACCAGAAGTGATAGGGCTAGGTTTGGAGGTTGCAGACCCGAGTTTAACTATTTGGGACCTATTGTTAAGGAATGATTTAAGCCATCCTAATAATGGGTCACGTATTCCTAAGGAGTTCAGCTTATTTGTTAGCAGTAAATGGTCAACACGGTCAAATGCCTTAGAAATGTCAAAGTAGATGACAAGTACTAGTTGCCGTCTGTCACGACTGCTGGTTACAAAATTGAAGAAGTCTAGGTGACATGTTAAACATGATCTGGATTTCAGGAATCCATGTTGGTTCGGACTTATAAAATTGCAGCTAAGCATATGTTTGATTAAGTTATCTTTGACTAGTCTCTCCATGATTCTAGATGCTATAGGTGTGATATTGATTGGCCGGTAGTTACTGACTTCAGTTTTCGAGCCAGATTTGTGTTTAGGCATAATGAATGTTGTCTTCCATATGTCAGGGTAAGTTTGGGTTTCTAGGGACATTGTGAATATTTTAAGCAGCAGTAGAGGAATGTCAGGGCCACCATATTTATAGAAGTAAGATGATATACCGTCGGTACCGAAACCTTTTGAACTTTTGAGGGTTCTTATAGTTTGGTTAATATTAGCGTAAGTGAATTGAACAGTGCTAATTTGGTTTGGTGTGAGTGGAGATGGAGTTTGTGCCATATTAGTAATAGGGTGTATATCGAGTAGCTGGACTGAGGGCTTAAGGTAGTTACCTGCAAACGTTTTGTTGAATAGTTCACATATGTCTGCAGAGTTAGTGCATAGCCTACCTTTGTCTATGAGGAGAGAAATGCTGTGATTTTTGCGATTCATTCGCTTCCTTAAGATTTCTGTGAGTGCATACACTCTAGCAGGACTGGCTACTGCGATGCGTTCTTCCTTTCTCATACGGAAATCTCGAGCTTGTGAGATGGAGCTAAGGGTGTTAAGTATTAGACCTAGAGTGCCAAAGTCGTGGTGTTTGAAGTAACTTGTTGAGAGTTCTTCAGTTTCGTACGATCCTTTGGTTTTATGAATGACTTTCTGTGTGGGGAAACCTTTAGTGTTTGGAGTGGAATGACAGCATCTAAGCATGTGTTAGAGTTATGGTAGAAGATGGTTAGGGCTCTCGATAGGTCATCAGTAGTGAAGTATTCATCCCATTTGGAGGATCTTAGCATTGATTCTACTAAGGCCCAGTTTGCCTTACTATAGTTCCTATATATTACTTGTTGTGAAGTGGAGGTATGAGATGCATTGCTACTCAGCGGAATTGGCAGTGCACACATCACTGTTTTGTGGTCGCTCCCTGGAAACTCAGAACCTACTAGCGTTGAAAGGGGGCTTATATTGTGGCAGAAGATTAAGTCTAGTACGTTGTTACCTCTTGTGGGAGTAGTGACAGTTTGTTTCCAGCCAAGTATATCCAGTGTGTCTAAGAACTTATCAAATTTAGTTGGGCCTGTGGGTATATCCCAGTTGATTTCAGGTAAGTTAAAGTCCCCACATAGGATCTTATGATCGTATTGTAAGTCGGATAATTGCTCCAGAGTATTAATAAGTTGGGTCTCGTAATTACTAAAGGTGCCAGGTGCTCTGTAGGTGCATCCAATTAATGCTGTTACGTTATTTAAGTGTACATTAACCCATAGAGTCTCAGGCATGTTAAGTGTACTACTTTCTAGCTGTGATACAGTAAGTGCATTCAGAAAGTACATGAGACAACCCCCTCCCTTACCACCTTCCCTGTCACACCGAAAGTGTGTGTAGTTATCTAAGCTTATTTCTTCATCCAGGATGTTCGAATGACACCAAGATTCAGTGATGACAATTACAGGGGGTTTGTATATTACTGTGAGTGCTCTGAGCATCGGCAATTTATTTAGAACAGATCTAGCATTTATGAGGATTAGGTAAAGATGAGAGTTGAAGTAGCATTTGAAGTATTTAAGTTCGTTAGTCAGCCCCGAATATGGTTCAGCACCCAGTAGTTCTGCTGGACATGACGATCCTATGTTAAGAGGAGTTTCAGCATCATGCTCACCTATGTCTATCGAGTTGGTGTGTGCTGTTTTCGGTGAGAATTAGGAGTTGGAGTACTGGATTTGCTATAGACTAAGGAATTTTTATTTTTAGTTAGGTTACAGAAGTGGGTAGGGTTCTTTATTTGACCTATACTTGTGCAAGTGTCAAGTGTGCCTAATGGATACGGGTGCAAGGAGGGAGCCAGCACTAGTGGTTTAGGAGTGTTAACATCCCTACCAGCTGTTTTTTCAACGCTGACAGGGACGCGGGGGATAAAAAATGATTGGATCCTTGTGATGACCATGGCTTATTATTCCACCTATTGTTTGATGCTAGTTGTGTCTTTATGTGGGTTAGTTCCCAGCAGACTTGTACCATATATCCGGTCAAAATTTGTTTGTGTGCCATACTCTGAAGACCCTGAGTTGTTGGTAGCCGAGTTCTGACTATTACCACTTGTACTATTGAGGGTGACATTGTTGTGACATTGGATATTAGTGTGTGCCATGGTGCGATTTAGCACGTTGTGAGTGCTAATACTATTGACCGTGGGGAGTGTGGGCTTATTTAAGCTGCCACTGTTTTTGTTGGTATGATTTAGGGGCATATTTTCCTTATCTTTACCAATGGAATTATAGCTAGGAGAGGACAAAGTCGAATTTCGGGGGTTTTGACTTTTTTTCTGGGGTTATTTAGTGGCATTTTAGATTCTGCGGTGATGGGTGGTATGGTTTTATTATTTATTTGGTTACAGTCTAGTGGCCTTTCGGCTGGTGTTGCACTCTGATGGGATAATTCTGTGTGTTTTGAGAGGGGTGATGCGGTGGGGTCTACTGTATCTTTCACAGGGTTGGGAATAATGGCTGCTTGCAATGTCCTATTACCTATTTCACAATTAGTCTTAGCGAGATAGTTGTATGCGCGCCTTTCTATGACTGTTTTGTCCACCCCGACCTTTATATGTTTGTAGTTTCTGGCTTGCGATAGGGTGTGTTGGGAGTGGATGAATTTTCTGGTCTCTGCCGGTGTTTCGAACTGAAAACGAATAGGACAACACTTTTCATGTTGACTCTTCTTCAGCCTATAGCACTTAGTCTTGGAGTTAGGCATTTTCGCTTCACTAAGTAAGATGCGCTGTACCTTTTTTAGTGCCTCATTGTCCGGAACGTTGTAGACAATAGCACTCAGTTTTGCGTCGAGTCGTTTTGTTACTTCTGTGGTAACAAAGTTAATGAGGTTATCTACCTTAGTTACCGATTCTGTGTCAAGCTTGTTAAGGTTTACAGTTTTCATGAGGATAGTTAGAGGTGTCAGTTCACAGACCTGCGATCTGATATCGCTGATCTGATCTGATAATTTGGATATCTCGGTATTGGTTTCGATGTTTCCAGCATTTACTGACTTACTGTTTTTTATTTCCCTTAACTCAGCCTTAAGTTCTCCTATAGACAACTTTAGAAGTTCTATTTCTGAAGATAGTACTGAAAAAGAGCTTGATGGCTGGAGTTTTTCGATAAGCACATAAGGTGAAGGGAGGAGTTCTGTATGAGCAGAGGGTACTGAATTTTTAGGAGTAGTGCTAATACTAGCTGTCAGTACAGTTTTATCCTCAGTTCCAGCTCGACGCTTACGGCATACAAGTGAGTTATGTGACTCACTATAGCCGTTTGTAGGGGGTGTGTTGCTTGATGTAGCAATCAAGGACGTTAAATTAGACACCAGTTTTACAGGGGATTGGGTTCGTTGCTTTTTACTTTGATTAACCATAACTATTAGAAATGGAGTTAGTGGTTACAAGTATGGAAGTAATATAGTACTTGTGCAAGTATTACAACAAGATAAATTTTATGTAACGAATCACGCAAAAATGTAACGTTAACGTTGAACGTACCGCGATACAATCGTCGTACGAGACACTTCATCCGAACGTACCGCGTTCGTTCGAATTTGCATTATAAATGCATTTATTATTGATACTTGCACTTACTTATTTGATTACGCTTTAATGATTCACGCTAGCGCTTTTAGGTTTCTAAAACATCTTTCAATCCCTTGTAAACTTTGTAGTTACCGTAACACTGGTTGGTTATCGTATGCCTACAACCTCGGGATGAAAACGAAACGAAGTCGGTTTTCCCGCGCAACCTGGAGGACAGCTGTGCAATTCAATATCTATACGGCGTGGTTCAGACAATGAGTGTAAATATATATATATATATCAAATATTTTACAGTTGAAACGTTATTAACTTATAGACAATCTACGATTTGATATTATATCATGCTTGATCGTGCCTGTAAAAATGGCATACATTTTCATGTAAATTTATGTTTATATGAAAATATAAAATTATTATTTTTATTAGAATGTGTTGCCAATTTCAAGGAATTAAAACTGTAAAATATCATAATTAATAGGACTGGAGTCATTTTCTTGAAGCAGATGATGAATAGGCATGTATCAGTAATATTTTCGGCACTTTCTTAACCACTCTAATTGTTAGTGAAGTATAATCTGGAGAAATGCATGTCACTAATCTGGCCCCTCACTTCTAGAACATGGACTCTGAGAGAGGATTTGACGGAAAAGAGGAAGAGTAGAATTACGACTGAGCCTGTGGGAATATTTTGCCCCTTAGAAGATTACAAAGGTTTACAGACCCCGTGGGTGATTAAGGTGTGTATTTAGCTAGTAAACACTTTTTGGTCATTCTTCTTATTATGAATCGAGATGCATCACAATATCGAAAAATAAGTAGCTCCACAAAAAATTATCAGCTTATTTAAGTTCACTACATATTGCTAGGTAAATGAAGGATTGTTACATCTAGGATTTTAAGTCTCGAGTCGGAGGAGGTATGTAAATTTTCGTGAATATTGAACATCTAAGATGTGGTGCGTTACATACAATAGCGGGTTAATCTGGCTGTTAGAGGTTGGGCACATTTGTGTGGTTCCTCTCCTCATCCTCCAGAGTTCCCAGCTCGTACCATGTAAGGTCTCCTTTTAATAGTATTTCCATCGGGCTTACTGCTGAATGTAAAATATATGGGAAGATTAGAGATATATGACTGTAAGTTATTTCGATCAATCAAGTCATTGTAGTCACTCGCGTTAAGTTGTGCAGCACGACAGTTACTAGTAAGGATAGAAATAGATTGTTATGTAACTGACCACCACAAGTGGCGGTAGCTGTAATAGGACTAGATTGAAACAGAGCTACGGCCGTCAATGGAATATATGGCACTGACTAATGAAATGATTAGCTCCAAAATCATCCGAATCTGTTAGTCTTAGTTTGGCCGGGGTCCTTGAGATGTTAAAATTTAACTGTTGCAGATGTTTTTTGATATACTACTCTATAGGTTAGTAGTTATTTGTTCACTTCGAAGTGGTTCACAGCCTTCTTAGACCCGTTTTTTTGAGTTTGTTTGTTGCTGAGTGATTTTCTCAGCCCAGCGGCTTGATATGCTCTGTGTAGTCATATGTTATCCTACTGTTCTGTATAGCTTTATAGTATTTAACTAGTCTTTATGCATGTACGTTCTCAGATAAATTTATTAATAAATAAAATGCGTTATATTCTTACACTATGTTTGCTCCGATTTCTAGTAACTGACATTCCAAAGTATGCCACTGTTTGGGAAACCGAAAAGCCCCCGTGAACTCGTCCAAATTGTTAATGAAAACCTACTTGTAAGTTTGCCTTCAATATTCATGAAGTGTTAAAGGCCTTGAGTGGCAGTACCAAAAATGACAAAGAACGGAAGAAGGCTGTGGAAGAAATAGCAAGGGCTTTAAGTACTTTGCGAGAGCTGTTAACTGATAAATCAGACACCCGACTGACTGGCAAGGAGCGCGATGCAGAATTGTCAAATTCTGAACGAGCACGAATAAATGAAATCATAACGGATGTGACTCACGAAATTATAAATCTCAGTCTTTTGCCGTTAATTGTAAACAATTTAGATGCTATCGAGTTTGAGGTACGTCTTGTTTTACCCTTATCAAAATTGTGGTTAGAGTTCTAAACACATCGTTGATCTGTTCGGTCTTATTATGCGAAGACAGGTAGGGTCATACAATCCAGCCGCTCAGTATCTTTTGTCCAACACTCAAATTTTAATATCATTATTACAAGGATACTCCAAACCCGATAGTGCTATACACTATGGAACGGTAAGTCTCAAGATTTCGAATCTCTAATTAACTCAACTATTTGCAAAATATGATTGTTTTTCTCATATTATGGTTACTTTAATTTTCATATCTCGAATTGTCTTATAACTTGATTTTCTACGATAATTATATGCGGTTTGCTGAAGGTGTGTAATGTTATGCGCCCTGTTGTCTAAGTAGTACAGTCTTAGCTTCTTAGGTATATCTGTTAGAGGTTATTCGTGTATACGTGAATTTCCCTTTAGTCCTTCCGGTAGTCAGCAGTGAATGATCACAAGTGCCCTCACTGTCACTGCCTGCTTGAACCTACATGACTGAGTAGAGGAACATTAGGATTCGTACAAAAAACGTGGTTCATAACCTGGCATACAAAACATTTTGTTCCAAGTAACTGAATTCTAACCAAATATGAGGGCAAATATCTGTGCATATGCACGAGTCAGACTATGGCTTTTGAACGTTGGAAATAACCGTTAAATTCTATTATTCTTTACGTTATATGTGAAAATCACTGAAGCAAGCGAAACAGCATGATAACACTGTCGATTTATACTAGTGGTTTCCAACCATTCACGTGAATCAATGGCGTCCGCCATCGATAAACTCTGGTTTCGACTTTAGAGATTTTAAAATTTCGTCTGGGGCTATCAAGCAGTATAATCATTTGGGAGCATTTCAGTTTGTGGTCACTTATTATTGCATGATATCAAAGACTAAGTTAATTTCCTTCTTATCAAATCTGCAATGCAGTTAACACGTCAATCCACGATTACTAACCATAGTGATTATGAGAAATATGTTGCAATCACTTCATGTTGCCATGCTGTGCGAAAATTCCAACAGTATTAGCCGCAATATTTTGGTTGTATAGGTGAGATCCTGCAGGCACATAGTATAGCAGTGCTTACAGTCCAGGTGATGCAGTGGGATCGAATTAGCTTTTGCCAGACTGATATTTTATGAACTCTTGGGAATCTCGTCTGCCTCTTTTCGAAAAGTACTCTTGTGCCTTACAGAAAACTTGGTTTCACTGTATACCAAAATATATCACTTCCGTGGGTGGATGTTTTTAACCGGGCGAGCATGCTTTGCACTTTACTGTTGAAATAGGTGTACACTACTTGTGGACACTAACACCAAGTTCACTAATAACGTTTAAGTAATATTCACTTGGTATGTTATGTATGTATCTAGTGGGAATATATATATATATATTCCCTCGAGCTGATAAATAACTCCAATTTTTAGAAAGTAAAACAAACGTGTCTTATTCCGAGTTCCCACTTTTCGAGGAATCACACAAAATGAAGAGCAAAAATGTAAAATACAATAGATCTAATGTGTGTTAAACTTGAGTACCGTGGTAGTACTAAATTGTACATTAATTTGTTTATTGGATATATCACACAGTGAGTGTTATTTATCAATAAAGAATAAACGAACATTAATGGAAAAATAATGTTTAAATGAAGATTACCAAGAATTTTTAGAACGTGAAAGATGACATTGAGTGAATAAATCACTACCATTGTGTAGAGTAGTGTATCACTAAACGTCTTCAACGGTTAGCTTTTAACATCTCGGGGATGCTAAATCTATAACCTTATCAATTGAATTTCCTTCGTTGCGCAACACTATTGTTAACCTGTTGTTATCAATTATCTTGTTGATTAACGTAGCACGAGCAATTAGTCGAAAGATTTTATGGCCATAAACCTCATTGCAAACACTTGTTTTCTACTTCACTTTAGTTGCCTTTTGATATGTATTCTTAGGTTTCATTTGGTTGGTACTTATTCGCAATATCATTTGAAGTTTGTTCTCTCCGTTAAAATTCGTATAGTGTTGAACTCAGAAGTACAAGCCTTCTTTGTCTCTAGGGTTTCGATGTCATGATTGCAAATCAATATCATGTGGTCTACGTACAAGCTAAACCTAGATAATCCTACTTTCTGAAATGACCGATGGCCAGTCATAATATCTCGTTGGAATCCTCTCTGCAAGTTGAACTCAACATTTGCATGCTGCAATGACTCAAAGGCTTATGTTATAGAGGATACTTTTTGGGGTTAAAGATTTGTAGTCACTCGAAAGTTGACTGGACGGTATAATTTAAAGCATTGACCGTTGTTTAGATTATTGTTTCAGAACTCGATACAGTAAATCGATGGTTTGGACATTCATGGGCATTCGAAGTTTTATGGAAGTTTCGGGTTACTATGTTCCGTAGGAACTCGTCAATGCAGAATGAAAACAGTTTAAACACGAAATGGCTGGGTATTTGCAATGATGATAAGTAGTAATGGATGATAAAAGTGGAGAAAGACTGACTGAATGAAGTTCAACAAAGAACTTTGCACAGAAGTGCACTAGTTCATGTAGTACAATAAGGTAGACAAAAAATTATATGTATATATATATATATATATATATATATATATTAAACAGAAATGTGATGGAGAATGATAGGAACATGGAAAGACCACAGTTTAGGGTTTAATACAAAACTAGACGAAAAGCAGGCTTTAAAGGCTTGTTTTATAATTTTATGAAGTTGATGATTATAAGTTCCTGGGTGAATGTTGGTGTCTTTCTACATTTGAATTTACAGAAAATACGACTACAGTTGAAATCATTCACTTGGTGAAGTGGAATGTAAGCTTCAGCAGGAGATCACAGCTTAACTAAGCTATTTGAATAGTTCATCTAGGCGCTGTTGTCATTCTTATCATTATTAAACTATAATTCTAATGCTGAGACGAAAATGAATGCTTTTCCTAAGGTAATACTATTTTAGACGTTGACTTCAAATGTTGTGTAATGTTCATGGATGAACTCTTATCACTATCGAAGGCTGAGACAGTTTCATATCCTCCCTGTTCCTCATTTTTGGGAGGTCGAGATATCCAGCTTTGCAGAATAAACCCACCATATGTACCTTATTCATTCTAAATTCTCTGCATTCGCAAAAAATGCTTATGTTAGTAGGGTAGTTAATGATATTGTCCTGAGCAATTGTTAAGATTACCTGAATTTGTCAGTATGCACACTACTTTTAAGAAGTTTTGTTCATAAGTGGTACCATTTATTTAATTTTATGCTAAATGTGTTTATTCCTCTATCTTGTAAAGATTTCTGTGCGTTTTTCGTTTAGACAAAGTATTTGTTTTTCTTTAATTAGATGCTTCGCGATGCATGCCGACACGAAGCTTTGGCTAAAGTTGTTCTTCGTTCTCAAGAGTTTTATCAGCTTTTCGAACATGTACAAGGTACAGCTTTCGATGTAAGCTCAGATGCCTTTGCAACACTGAAAGATTTACTAACACGCCACAAAGCCCTCGTAGCAGATTTCCTCGCAGCTAATTACGATGAATTTTTTAATCACTATATGCATATGATCTTGTCAGACAATTACGTTACAAAAAGACAGGCACTAAAGGTTAGTTTTTATGCTTTGTTATTTTGCTTAGCTGAGCAGTCACAGTAAACAGTTTTAAGAGAGCTGGGTATACGAGTGTAGGTAATGCAACGTGATATTTGACAGATTTTCATCATTGCAGCATTTGTGATATGTATTAAAGCTGTATCATTTTGTCGTCATATATAATAAAGGTTCATAGAGCACTTTTGTTGTACAACTCCGTCACGTCATTTATCTGGTACACGACTTTGTAGGTTTTACTAATCTCGTATTTATTCTCCATAAGCATTCCCAGGCTGTATTGTTAACAATCTCTCCACATTATTCAACCTCTAATCAGTGATTTGTTTGCTTTTCCGTTTCCTGTTTCAGTTGTGTGAAAGCTGTCAGGATGCCTACAATTTAGATTTATTTATTCATAGATTTGGTGTCCTTTCCTAGCCGTCCGAAAATCCGTAAATCTTAAATTAATGAATGCAGTTCCGAAAGAGAAGTTGGATATAAGCAGTGATATTTGTAAAAGCATCATTAAACTTAAGTACCATGTAACGTTCCTGAGGCCAACGGACAGCTGTTACCTTGACGTGGTGGTCAGGCTTGCATATCGCAATGACCAAACGAGCTACACTGTGTGGGGCGAATATTCCTACAGGTATTACCAAGACAAAAAGGTCTCCTGTCTTTCAGATAGACTAATATCATTTACTGTCATAGCACAAGTCACACTGAGGTGAGGGTCTGGAAGTGGAGTGTTGATGGCGAATGGGAATGAATAAGTGGTGAAGTGCTTCCCTCAGACCACTAACAAGCTATCTACGCTTCTTCCTCGCTCGGGGGAGGGTGGTTAGTAAAGACTGACCCTTAAAATTGTACCTCTTGCCTTATCTTACGGTGGTTAGTAGGTGCCTATAAGAACTTCACGTAGACACAGCTCCAACAACCATTCCAAACAGGCCGTGTCCCCATTCTGAAGTAGTTACCCTCTGGACTCTACAGTTGAAGAACACTAATGTTCTTTATATTCCAAGTAATCCAAAAAGCACAACTTCCTAGGTTTAGATACCGACCCACATACTTCCATAGACACATGAACTTCCCTGCTCCATATTCTTGGGTCCCTGTCACTGTTAATATTGTTCAACTAGGGGGTTCCCACCTTCCAACTTTGATACAAATGCGATTAGAGCCGAAATCTCAGCACGAATACAGGGGGCTCGTTTCGCATTTACCAATTTACGCCGACTCTGGCGTAGACGAGATGTTCGACTATCGACCAAAGGGCGGGTGTACTGCTCATCAGTCCGCTCCGTCCTCCTTTATGGCCAGCTGTGAGACCTGGCCACTGAGAGTGGAAGACATGAAAAGACTAGCTGCCTTTTATCATAGGTGCCTGAGCTCTATTTCCCGTGTAAAGTGGCATAATAAGGTGAGCAACATTGAAGTTAGGCGTCGAGTTCTAGGTAAACTGGGGAAATCAATCGACGAAGTCGTGAAGTTACAAAGACTGAGATGGTTAGGACATGTGTTACGTATGCCAAGCCATCGCCTCCCTCGACAAGCTATGTTAGCGGATATAGGGTCAGGCTGGAAAAAAGCTAGCGGCGGTCAAACAAAAACTTGGCATCAGTCAATGAAACCCACAACAGTTGGTCTAAGCCACGTAAGAAGGTGTAGACTTCCTGACTGGTTGGGGTCCTCGGGACGGTAAAAATCTATGGTTGGAAACAATTGGTGACATGGCTCAAAACCGTTCTCAGTGGCGCAGATGCATCCACTCTTTGTGACTTATGATCTCCAATGAAACTGTTTTGTTCTTCGTTATTACTCCTTTGTCTCACCCCTCTGCTCACTGTTTCTATTATGCTTTTCTTGTACTTTCTTCTCTTGCTTCGGGTGCTACACGGAGTGTGGCAACTTGAACTTCCGCACATTTGTGCAAAGTTCTATGTCGAAAACAGACAAACAGACAGACAGATTAGAGCCAGGAAAACACAAGTCCCCTAAGATCATGCTGCTAACTTTCTATGGGAGAATTCAAGATCCTTTGCCAAATGGGCCAGAACTCTGGTATCTTGAGCCATAGATATATATTGCGCTTCAGAGACACGCGTAAAACATCCGAGTTTGGTTATTCACTTAACGTCACCCAGCCAATATGCGTGCACAACATTCACTTTGTGGCTATCAAGAGTTCAGAAAAATCCATGCTTGGTTGGATTCTAGTGCACGGTCGTATGTGTGCTTTTCAACCTAATGGATTCAGGGGAAAGAGGGGAGATTGTCGATGTCTTTTCATAATTTCCGCGTGTGCCCCAACGGGTTGCAGTCCGGGTGGAGAAAAGAATGAGTTTTGTCAAAAGCTGTGTATATCTCTGCCCAATGCAAGCTTAGCAAGTAACTTCAGTGCTCTAGTAGGGAAAACTTTGCCAGTAATAAACCTATATTGGTGACATACATGAAGTCTCATACCGAGGGACCGACAACATTGGGCGTCTTTTTCAATTCTGGTCGGACAATCATCTGTTCCTAGTCACCAATAATTTTACACACATGGAAAAAGTGTGTCATCTGGTAGTTTCCACCAAATCAACAGGACATTAATAGTCCATGTCTCCGCCGGTTGAAAGGGTAGATGGAAGACTGCCGCTCTCCGTGGAACACCTGCATAGACTGCTATAATGATCTGGTGGGTACACGTTTATGTCCATGACTGAACAGGCATAGAAAACAGTCAGCTACGAAGTCTCCAAGCCCCCAACTTGGTGAGAACACTGTCTTTGTTTGTGGAAGAAATAATCGAACGCATAGCTGAGACTGTTAGTATGACTCTCCCTGAGGAGGCTGATGTAATATCTATTCAACTGTAGAAACAGTGATAAAGGCTGTAGATTTCTCGTCCAAACTGGTAGATGAGAAGAGGCTTATTTCGGTGATTTCTGGGCACGATGAGGAGCAAAATATGCACAAATGCAAGCTGACTGAAAGTTCCTCTAACAACCGTAAACATCGGTGGGCAATGGAAGCCAAACAGACGGAGAAGAGATTAGCGGTAGATAACACTTGATTACTGTTTGTACGCATTAAAAAAACGGGGTTGTAAACTTCCAGTGATAAGAGCAACAGTTTCCGAGGACGGTGCTCTAATTATTTCAGAAGTCAAGACGTTCAACTCGAACTAATGCATCTGTAAAGGAGCTAATGGGAAGTTGTCTTATGAATTAGTGACAACTAGTGGTGTCTGACAAGTACTAAGCAAGACCAAGGTGTCACATCCTAACTCCTTATGTCAAAAACATGTAATGGGTGTTTCACTCGTTATTGTGTTATGTTATCAGAGGTTTACCTGGAAGAATTCTAGCCAAAAGGGCTGAAAGCATTCTTATTGTGGCCATATATACCTGGACAAACGAGTAATACATAAAGTCAACTTCGTAATTAGCAGATTACATAGTTAATGGTGAAAATTCACCATTGCTTCGTTTCGAAACTTGACATAGTTATATCTCAAAGTGTGATCTTATTATGGTAAATAACAGCCAAGATATCAAACGGTCGTCCGGTGTATAGGCCACTTCAATCTGGCGTAACTTATGTTAGTCACTGGTATATGCCATTATGGTGCTTCTCTTGCTTCAGTGATTGCCGTATATGATGTGAAGCAGATAGGAATATTTTGGCTTTCCAGACGAATCCGTGGCTAACTTTCATGTAACATTGTACAGTTTTTAAGCGACTGACTGAGTTTTAACATACTTTACACTGAAGTGTAGTAGTTCAAGTTGTCACACCATGGGGTACGCAGAAGTGGAGTGAAGAGACAAAAAATAAATTCAAAAGAACTATAATTTAAATTTTCATGTGTTGAAGTTTATAAGACTTTGTTTAACCCATACGGGTTTACAAATCTTAAGATCTACCATCATCTGTAGGCTTGTTGAGAAACTTCAAGTGCGTTTAAAGTAGACTGCGTTTCGGTTTGATTGCTTATCATGATGAAATTCTCTTCTTTTTGCAATCTCAAGAAACAAGAATCTGACACACTAGCCGTTTTTAACCTAAGTTTGATGTTTAATACTCTCAGCTGAAGTGTTGGTTTCTCTCAGTGAAATATGTTTCTAGCAGGTACTTTTAGTCGACATGAGACGGTATCCCACTTATTGGGTAATTTTTTCAAATTTCTCATCGTGCTAGAAGCGTATAAAAGAAATGTGTAAATAACGTCCATAGGTCAAGTCTCACTTTGTTTACCGAGTAACAGATACAGCTAGATCCATAATGCTTCATACAACCAACTTCCAAGTTACAATCAGTCAAGAAGTACAAACTGACCGCACGTTTCCATCAGCATGCAAAACTTTCCTGTTCGTGAGCCTCCCTTTCTTTTTTATCTTTTCCTCCTTGTTCACTGTCTGTTTTTAAAGGAAGTATGTGATACCACACAGTTTCTCCAACTTTTCTTGCCTCTTTGGGCTATGGTTATTGATTTAAGTTAGCAAAGCATCATTTTTAGCTTCGTACTTTATTACCATCTTCACGATGAAGTTTCCAACTTTGGAAATGCTGTCGAATCGCAGACAAACGTCGCTGACTGCAGCTAATGCATGTCGAGCTTCGATTGTATGTTATGTATGTGGGATACATGTGCCATTCACAAGTACATTTATTCCAATAACGCTCTCTAACTAATTTAACTAATCTATAAAGATTTATCCTAGGAATTTCAAGAGACTCGATGGATTTTCTTGTTTAGTAGTAGCATTAAGCTGTAGGTTGGAAAACTCGCAACTCGACTAGATCCTAGTGAACGGCCGTCTGTATAGTACACATTTTCAATAGGTCCATAAGAAGAGGGCAAAGTCATGGTCCTTGTTGATGCATCTACGCAGTTTCTGCTTATTGCAAGCTTGAACAAAGCAAAAGATGATTTTTGTGAGAAGCAAAACTCACTCGAGATTTCTGTTTTCATATATGTTGCCTTTAATCTGCCCTTGTTTTTATCTATCGAATGAAGTGAGGCTGTGTTGGAGTTTTACTAGATATATTATTTTTCCTTCTGATTTGCTGGCGTGAAAAGATGGAACCTCCGTTATGAATTTACTTTTATTTTCACGAATGTGGATAACACACTTAAACATTACAACCACGCCTGCTTCTTTGTCAGGTTTCCGGATAATTATGTCGAATCTACCATGTAGTTCCTGCAACGCTTAAGCTATCTTGGTAATCCTTATCTGATTATATTACTAATGGTAGTATCAATTATTTTTATTCTCAAATCCCGTATCATTTTGTTTCTGTAAATTATTTTATAATTATTATTATTGTTCCCTTGGGTTCCTAGTTGAACGTAGGGCTTCAACTTCACGTCTCCATTTGCTTCTGTCTTCTACTGTACTTTTCACCTGCATCCATGTTAGTTCATACTCTTTCAACTTCTCTTCACACGATCTACTCCATGTCACCCTTGCACTGACGTCCCACTCGCCGCTTCCCTTTCGGGTTCCACTCGAGCGATGGCCTGACGCGCGCGCGATGTTACCCAGCGGCCTCCTCAGTGAGTGACCGATCCATCTCCACTTTCTCCTGCATATTTGTTGGTTGGCGATTGGTTTGTTCTTGTTTTGTTTGTTCCCAGCCATAGTTTCTTGTTGGTGATTCTTTCCAGCCCGGTCATCTGATCTTCAGTATACAGCGAAGACAGTTGTTGGTTGATAAAGGTCTGCAACAGGCTGTTGGAGATATTCTTTGTGACCCGCCCGCCAAGTTTCTGATCCGTTCCGTATAGAAGAACTGACTGACTTGATGTTTGTATTGAAAATCCGACCGAATTTTGTTGTTGATTCTGTCTGAGTGGCGAAGATTTCCAGATTGGTTGTTTCAGGTTGATGTGAATGTGTTTCTCGCCTTCCCGATTCTCGCTCGATTTGACATCCTCATCCGTTCCTACTGCCTGTAGTTGAGACAATGCTCCCTAGATAAGTGAAGGAATGAAGTAACCTCTTTCAAATCCCTCCCGTTGATGGTGATTGGCGCTGGATGTTGCTGTTGTTGTTTTTCTTGTTGATTGTTTTCATAACCTGGAGTCCTGTCTTTGCTGCTTCTTCGACCAGTTCGTCGGTTTTCGCTTGTAAGTCTTCGATTTTGTGTGACATCAAGCATAAATCATCCACGCGCAAATCCAGGTCTTCTAGGTTCTTCACGTCGGTCCAGGATATCCTGTCTTTCTCGTTTCCCACTGTCTGACGCATAATCCAGTCAGTCCACCACAATTAGGAATATCATTGGTGATAATAATCACCCTTGTCTGACTCCTGTGTTTACTCCAAACGCCTCGCTGAGTTTTCCGTTGTGGATCACTTGACATGTGCCGTTGTCGTACAGCTGTTGAATAAGGTTGATGAATATTTGGGGTACGCCGTAGTACTCGAGTAGTTGCGGTCACGCAGTCTGTCGAAGGCCTTCTCAAAGTCTATAAAGTTGAGGTAGAGGTTTGATTGCCATTCCATGCTTTGTTCTGTGATGATGATGCGTAGAGTTGCAATTTGGTCAGTACATGATTTGCCTTTCCTGAATCCAGCTTGTTCTGGTCGGAGTTCTGTCTCCAGTGCGTCCTTTATTCTCTCCAGGATGATGCGACTCAGGATTTTACTTGGCGTCGATAGGAGCATGATTCCTCGCCAGTTCTTGCAGAGTGAGGCGTAAGTCGCCCTTCTTTGGTAGTTTCACGAGGTAACCTTTCCTCCAGTCAGTAGGCACCTTTCCCTCCTTCCAGACCTTTTGCAATAATGGAGTCAGCATGTCTGCTGTAGTCTCTGGGTCCGCTTTCAGTGCTTCAGGGGGTATTCCATCTGGTCCAGCTGGTTTTCCAGCTTTCAGAAGCTTGATTGCATTCAAGACTTCAGCTCTCGTTGGAGGATTGGTGTCAACTTGCAGTTGTGTGCGCGCTGTTGTTGGTATTTCTGGACGGGTTGCAGGTGATGGTCGGTTCAAGAGTCCTTTGAAGTGATCCGCCCATTGTTTAATCTGTTTTTCTTCCTTGGTAATGGGTTCCCTTGGCTGTCTTTTATAGGTTTCGCTTGTGTTGGTCTCTTCCCGGATAGAGATTTGGTTATCTGATATAGTGTCCTCAGGTCCCTTTTGCCTGCTGCCTTTCAGCTTCAGTAGCTAGATTGTCGTAGAATCGTCTTTTGTCCTTCCTAGCACTTTTCTTCACTTCTTTGTCCAATGCTTTGTAAGTTGAGCTCATCGTCTCCTTCTCCTGTCCGTCCTTGCATTGAATCATTTTCTCTTTCACCATTCTCCTCTCTTCTATTAATTTCCAAGTGTCCGTTGAGAGCCATTCCTTGTCTTGTCTCTTCTTTCTTCCTAGAACCGTTGAACACGTTTCGTTGAGAATCGCCTTCAGAGACTTCCAATGTTCTTCCACGCATGATTCTTCAGTGCTGTCGCGTAGTGTTTCCTGCTTTGCTCTGACAGTTGCAGTGAAAGTGTCTTTTGTGGTTGTGTCCTTCAGTAATTGAGTGTTGAACTTGCATTGTGGCCTATCTCCAGCTATCCTCGAGGCTTTTAGTTTCACCTTGAAAGTCCCTTCTACTAGATAGTGGTCTGAACCCACATCTGCTCCTCTCCTTGACCTTGTGTCCAGTAGGCTCCGTCTCCACTTTCTTGAAATTGAGATGAAGTCTATTTGATTCTTGGTGTTTCCATCTGGTGAAATCCATGTCGTCTTGTGTATATCCTTGTGTTTGAACACACTCATTAATCACCAAATCATTGAAGGCGCAGAAGTCTGAGAAGAGTTCACCATTGTCGTTCATTTCATCGAGGGCCTCACGACCCATGGTGAGTTCTCTTCCTGTGTTGTCTCTTCCCAGCTTCGCATTCATGTCGCCCATCAGGATTTTGATATCGCCATTTGGGACGTTGTCCATTATTGCTTGTAGTTGTCTGTAGAACGCCTCCTTCTCTTGTTCTGAGACGTTTGTAGGCGCATAGCATTGAATGACTGTAACTTTCCTTCCTTTTGAGTTGAACCTGGCTGTCATTATCCTGGAGGAGATTGGTTCCCACTGCATGAGAGCTTTGGCTGCTGTTGGTGACATCATGATGGCCACTCCCTCGGTGTGCTCGTGGTTGTCCTCTGGTGGCCGGAAAGATTATTGTCTCTCCAGTAGGTAGTTGGCACCTTCCAGTTCCGTTCCATCTGCTTTCGCAGATTCCCAACACTTCTATTCTGTACCTTCTCATTTCAGCGGCTATCTGGGCAGCCTTTCCAGTTTCGTACATTGTACGAACATTCCAGGTACCCATCCTTACTTTTGCTTTCATCGAAAGAAGGCACATCGGCTGACTGGCTTCCCGAAGGCTTTCACCAGCCTGCGTCATTTCACTTCCCCGATTCCAGCGAAAAAAGGGTCATTGTTTGTATTTTTAGAATATATTTATTCGTTGAAGTTTCTGTAGCGATTTGGTTGTTTTACAGGGGTGGAGTTGCTAGAGTCACGCCCCAACCTCCCTCTTTACCCGGGCTAGGGACCGTCTAGAAAACTAGAAAGCTAGTAGCCTATCGAGTTAGTAATCTGGCGAGGTTTTCTGTAAATTGGCCCTTCATTTTTTATACAATTTGGTTTTACAAGTAAGTGCGCGATCAGATTGTTCATGACGTATTGCGCAAATAGATCATATTTTCCCGATGAACTCCACCTCCTAATAATGCTATCCAGATGGCTGTTATCATTATTACTGTTGTTAAAAAGGAAATTTTTCATCCTAAGTTACAAAAATATCAATATTTTATTTGTCTATATGCTTAGAATGACCTCTTCTCTTCTTTTCTTTTCTTCTTTTTTATCCGTTCGTGCCTTTAGCTGCTAGGTGAACTTTTACTTGATCGACATAATATATCAATAATGACAAGGTATATTGCAGATCCGGAAAACCTTAAAGTTATCATGAACATGTTAAAAAGTAAAGAGAAGCAAATTGCTTTTGAAGCATTTCATTGCTTTAAGGTGAGTTCTCATGTGAGAATCATTTGAGCTTGTTTTTTTAAAATTTTAATTTCGTTGTTTCTCACTGTCGTCACCTTGTTGTTTACTTACGCTAACTGGGCGTGGTGTGGTGTTTCTATCTGGATACAAGCTGTACTCAACAATCATCTGTCAGCAGAAACAACCATTGAAATCTTTTTTCTTCCTTCACGTTCCCAGTGAAACATAGGGCTTCAAGCTAGAGACTTGAAGTTTCTGTAGCAGTGTTTATTTTTACAGATTGGGGCTGCTAGCCTCATGCCCAACCTTTCCTCTCCACCAGCTTTTACTTCTGGCTTAGTGAGGTAGAGGAGAGCGTCTGTGACCGGGGATCGAACCCCGGACCATGCTCATGGTCGGCGAGCGTCCTAACCACTATGCCACCAACGCACCGGACGAAGTGTAATATCACACAATTTTGAAGATATACAGGCGAAGACCGAAAAGGTGATAGGAAAAGCACTAAACAGAGGACTTCAAGTGAACATGTAGAAGACAAAGGTGATGAAGAAGCACTGATGTCTACCAGTGGCAGAAGTTTGTAGGCGGTCACCACTTTAACCTATTTGGGGATGGTCGGCGAGCGTCCTAATCACTATGCCACCGACGCACAGGCCTCGGGCCCAGCCGGTATAGCGGTTAGGACGCTCGCTGACCATGCACTGAAATTGAAGTAAGACTAATAGTGTTTTTTCTGTGGAAGCCTTTCGTTTAAGACATCACGATAGTTATTTGAGAATAAAATATCTACAAGCGTGACCTTGTTCAATTGCTTATGAACGGCGAGAAAGCAGTCTTCCCCCATGTAAAGAACGAAATGCAAGCAGTGATGTAAAAAGACACGAAATAGTAATTGAAAGATTAAACGAAAATCGGTAGTTTAGGCAAACTGGAGGCTCGATTTAAAAAATACTACTCAGCTCTCATTCTGTCTATATATGTATGTGTATTTCTCTTGTAGGTTTTCGTCGCAAATCCAAACAAACCACCGGCTGTTCATATGATTCTCTATCGTAATCAGGAGAAATTGTTATCTTTCCTGTCAAATTTCCAAACGGAGCGTACAGATGATGGTCAGTTCAACGATGAAAAACAATACTTAATCAAGCAAATTAGAGAATTGAAGCCTATATCAATTCCCACTAATGCTAGTGCCACTCAACTAAGTACAGTTGCACGCACAAATTGATTTCAAACTTTCAGTAATCGTATGTTACTTCACGTACCGTAATCTATAAGGAAACATGATCTGTTTGATATTTGGGTCATTTGAAACAGAAGGTTATGCTTACCCGTCTACGCTCTGATTTGTAGTTTATAAAATCGAAAAAAAATATTATTCTGTGAATGGATAAACATTTAAAGTGGTTTTGGGAATATATATATAAACATTTTTTGTAAGTAATTTTCAGGTTTATTATTATATTTACCCTGATGCTTCATTGGCGGCGGGGGGGGGGGCACGGGGACTGTATTACCTATGGTGCCTATATATTTAGTGATGATTTTTGTTGTTGTTATTATTGTTGTGTTGTACACTACACTATTATTAGAGTTTATTAAGTTCTGATGACCTCAATGACTGACTATAGATAGATAGTTTTCTAGATTCTGCCGCATTATTTAATCTTTTTCACTCACTTACAACACCATTTCGTTGGTTAGTGCAGTTGGATATGTTCTATTTTGTATAACATCTTTATTTGAATAACAATTCCCTTTTTCTGTCCATATCTACTGTAGATGATAGAATATAGTATGTATGAAAGTATGTATATATGTTCAGTTGTCTTTCTATGATAGTCCTGTTTCACTCACACTCTCATGCCATTTCACTCGCCTGTTTTTACTATCATCTCTCCCCTTTTCTTTCTTTTCCTTGTCTTGTTTGTTTCTGTTGTTTAACTGTTTTATCTGCATGTAAAATGCCTTTCATAGAAAGAGGAAGGTAAGTGGACACTTATTTTCTAACCTCTTGCCTCTTCTGCTTCATCTGCATCAATAGGACATTTTGCTTAATTTCTTTAATTTTTTTCAAAATGTAAAAAACAATCACTAGTAAGTATATATCAACCAATCAATCAGTTGTCTATAAATTCACTTCCCTTATTTTATTATTCTAGTATGTTGTTGCACGATGATGCTAGTTTGAAGTAATCTTTTGTGTTGACGCCCCCTCCACCCGACCCCGGCCCCAGCCCCTTGCCCACCTTTATTTTTTCTTCTTGATATAATCTATCCATCTCTGAGCACATCAGACAGAGCTGTGTGTGTGTGTGTGTGGTGTAAGGCTGACGTTTTCTTTCTGACTGTAGTTTCATCGCCTTTGCGATAATGATTATCATTGTTATGCTTCTGTGTGTATACTTCGTGATTAAAATTCACGCCTAGTTTGTTTTCAATTTCTATCATTTTTTCTTGTTGTTTTCTTCTTTCCTTCCCCCTCTCTCTCTTTCTCTTCCTCCTGTATGTATTTAGTGGCATAAATTTATAGTGTATGATTATTGTTCCTGCCGAGTACACTAATTTCTCATACTCTAGTAGTATGTCATTTTGCTATTTGAAAAAAGAGAAAAATAAATTAGTTCATAAGGTTTTGGTGTGTGTTGTTTATTATTAATAATGCAATTACAATTGGAGTATTATTTCTAGACTCATTTGAGATTACTAGGTTACTAAGATTGAATCCTAGTGGCGTTTTTCTAGTGCACTAAGTTGGAAAACTTTGATGAAAGTAGTTTTATGTAATTTCATTTTATAACAAAAAAAGGCGGTTGATGAGATTCAGCTCATTCACTTGGTTGTACTAGCGTGCAATACATGTAAGGTGTTTTTTTTATGCCTGTGACAAGTCTTCACTTCCATAGTGCTTTTTTACTGTCTTAATCTTACTTAAGGATAGACTAGTCCTGGGTGATCACTGTATACTTGAATACCTGTAGTGATGTTACAACATTAGATAAACAAATTGGTAGGGCGTATGCTTTGATTGGTGTTTATCTTCGACACACATTGGTGTTATTTCTACTCAGGTTTATTCAGTGTTGTGTATATTATTATTGTTCCTTTGGGTTCCTAGTTGAACGTAGGGCTTCAACTTCACGTCTCCATTTGCTTCTGTCTTCTACTGTACTTTTCACCTGCAACCATGTTAGTCCATACTGTTTAAACTCCTCTTCACACGATCTCCTCCATGTCACCCTTGAACGTCTCACGCGCCGCTTCCCTTTCGGGTTCCACTCGAGCGATGGCCTGACGCGCGCGCGATGTTACCCAGCGGCCTCCTCAGCGAGTGACCGATCCATCTCCACTTTCTCCTGCATATTTGTTGGTTGGCGATTGGTTTGTTCTTGTTTTGTTTGTTCCCAGCCATAGTTTCTTGTTGGTGATTCTTTCCAGCCCGGTCATCTGATCTTCAGTATACAGCGAAGACAGTTGTTGGTTGATAAAGGTCTGCAACAGGCTGTTGGAGATATTCTTTGTGACCCGCCCGCCAAGTTTCTGATCCGTTCCGTATAGAAGAACTGACTGACTTGATGTTTGTATTGAAAATCCGACCGAATTTTGTTGTTGATTCTGTCTGAGTGGCGAAGATTTCCAGATTGGTTGTTTCAGGTTGATGTGAATGTGTTTCTCGCCTTCCCGATTCTCGCTCGATTTGACATCCTCATCCGTTCCGACTGCCTGTAGTTGAGACAATGCTCCCTAGATAAGTGAAGAGAATGAAGTAACCTCTTTCAAATCCTTCCCGTTGATGGTGATTGGCGCTGGATGTTGCTGTTGTTGTTTTTCTTGGTTGATTGTTTTCATAACCTCCTGGAGTCCTGTCTTTGCTGCTTCTTCGACCAGTTCGTCGGTTTTCGCTTGGGAGTCTTCGATTTTGTGTGACATCAAGCATAAATTATCCACGCGCTAAATCCAGGTCTTCTGGGTTCTTCACGTCGGTCCAGGATATCCCTGTCCTGTTTCTCGTTTCCCACTGTCTGACGCATAATCCAGTAGTCAGTCCACCACAATAAGGAATGTCATTGGTGATAATAATCACCCTTATCTGTCTCCTGTGTTTACTCCAAACGCCTCGCTAAGTTTTCCGTTGTGGATCACTTGACATGTGCTGTTGTTGTCGTACAGCTGTTGAATAAGGGTTGATGAATATTTGGCTCACGCCGTAGTACTCGAGTAGTTTCCAAATTACTTCGCGGTCAACGCAGTCTGTCGAAGGCCTTCTCAGAGTCTATAAAGTTGAGGTAGAGTTTTGATTGCCATTCCATGCTTTGTTCTGTGATGATGATGCGTAGAGTTGCAATTTGGTCATTGCATGATTTGCCTCTCCTGAATACAGCTTGTTCTGGTCGGAGTTCTGTATCCAGTGTGTCCTTGATTCTCTCCAGGATAATACGACTCAGGATTTCACTTGGCGTCGACAGGAGCATGATTTCTTGCCAGTTCTTGCAGAGTCCTAAGTCGCCCTTCTGTGGTAGGGGTGTATATGGCAGTCTGTTATCTTGTGTCATGAAATGTTCACATGTGCAGTAGAAAAACCCAAGGCACTATAAGCGTGTTACAGAATCTGCTACAAACTGTGAGTAACTTTTGGACATTGTGTAAAACGCACAAATGTAAACTGTAACTTTTGGACTGGTTCGGTCGATACTTTATCCATTTGTCCAAAGCGTAGTGATTAGACGTGCTGGCCACTTCTCTTGTTTGCGTATTCACCTAGAGTAGATAGTTTGGTGACAAATGAAATCTCTCCACGGATATGACTTTTCTAGCATTGGTTTTTTCAGGGATTTTGTTTGATTGGTGAGCTGAAATCATTTAGATAACCATTCGAAAATCTGCAGGGGGTACTGGACAGCTGTTTCGGCATAGTTTGGGACTCTTCAGCAGTATGCACCCCCGAGTTCGAACCCAGAACCTTCTGGTTAAAAGGCCAGTGAGCTCGTAGACCATCAAGCCACTGGAACCCGTTCCAATCAAGCTTATTGTTGCGTACATAAAATAGCTTTTTGTCTATTAGGAATTGATTTTTCTACTCAACAATGTAGTCTATTTTAATATATATGGCTATAAAACGGTTACTAAAAAATGGCTGATAAATTCTCAGGCATCTAACTACAGTTGATTTTTCTTTAATAACACTGCAAAATTAGGTTAAAGGGTCGGAGAAAAGCATTTATTCACAAACTCCTCATCTGTTAGAAAATATCGATTTGCTAATTGGTGTAGCTTTTGTCGTTTAGAGGATATTTATGTGAACTGGATTCATTGGGGCTAAATCTCTAGTTACATAAAGTCAACTTAGCGGCGAAGTTAAACAATAGCAGGTTCCCTGATCAAGTTTGCCATAGACACTAGGCAGCTAGTCAGAATTAAGGAGCAATAGAACTGGTAAAATTGTTGAGAAAAACTGATTGCAGATGACGGTTTATGTCTCGGATTCTGTTTCTTACTCTATTGCAGAAAGATCAGTTCTCCTGTCAAGCTTCCTGCTCACATATGCATGCTGTATTAGTAACTCCGATTGATCTATTATTTGTGAAGTAATCAAACACTCGATTTTTCTTTAGTTTTCGTCAATCGAATTCAGAACAGAGGGGCTGATTTTATTTGGTTATAATATTATTATTATTGCCGTGGGTTTCTAGTAGAACATAGGGCTTCTACAACACATCTCCACTTTGCTCTGTTTTCCGCCGTCCTCTTCAGCTAGGTCCAATATTGCCCATAATCCCTCATCTCCTCCTCCCCAAACGATCTCCCCCATGTCACCCTCGGGCAACACACTCGTCGTTTCCCATTCGGAATCCACTCGACCGACGACCTGCCGCACGATGTCATTCGGCAGTCTCCTGCATGTTTGCCCGATCCATCTCTATTTTCTCCTACATATTTTTATTTATTTTATTTTTTTGATTATGGCTTGATTCCACACCGTATTTTTGTTACAAGTATGGAATTTTCAGTATGTGATATCGGTAGCCCGGATTTCGCAGATGTGCATTGGCGGGAGATCGAACCCCGGACCATGTGCATGGTCTTCGAGAATCCTAACCTCTGTGCACTTACATAGCAACCGGCTCATGGTTGTTTTGTTACCGCAGTTTCTTGCTGCTAGTTCTTTCTGACCGGCTGTCTAGTCTTCAGTATGTAGCCAGTGAAGGCAGCTGTTGATAAAAGTCTTCAATCTGTTCGATATCCTCTTTGTGATACGCTGGTCATGTTTCTGACCCAAAACAAATTCGATGACTGACTTCATAATTGCTTTAAAAATCCGAATCTTGTTCTTTATTCTGACTGGTTCAGAAAACTTCCAAACTGATTTCCGGTTGATGAACTTTCTGTAACTCTAATTGTTGGTTGTCGATGGTTATGTAACGATGGTGGCTGCTGTGGTGTACAACTTACCCCGTAAACTGTTTTGAGGGATTCAAAATATGCTTAGTTCCTTCAAAGTAAAAAATTCTCCATCTGATTTATTATTATTTATGACTTGGTAAATGACGAATATATATTCGAAAATTTTGCATTTAGAAATATCATGTGATGAGTAGTAATGAGTACATTTTTTGTTTGACCGACTTGATTGAATACATTTTTATTTGATATTGATCATGTGACTCTTATACTAACTAGGCATACATCTAAAACATTTTTCTTAAACACACTATTCGTCTTCATTATAAATTCCTCCTACAATTGAACAACTTATTCATCACTTGGTTAACTTTTGATGTATTAAACAAAAATAGTGTTGATGGTGGTGTGGTTGATTCTTACAGGCTTAATACTACGTCTGAATTTTATTGTTAGAGTGTATTGCAAGCCAATGTACTTTTAACAGAATAAATCATCAGTGTTTTACATTAGAACAATACAGGTCTAACTAGTGCATATATTGACTTACTAACTATTGAATGAAATTTGAATAGTGAAAATACACTTTTCAGGATAACCACTGATATATACAGTTGTAGAACTATTGGAAGAGCCTGATAATAACTATCATAGTGCTTATTATTTTGAAACTATTCAATACTGTCTGACAGTTCATCATTCAAAATAAAACATGTTTTTTCAACTGATAGTTGACTACTCCATGGAGGCCCCCATATGTGTGACTGATCTGATTCTGTCAAGAGTGAGTAGACTTTAATTTTTGCCTCAAAATACTGTCGTGTCGTTACGCGCTTATTACCTCTAAAACTGCAATTCACGAAGAGTAGCCTAGACAAGAACTACAAATGTAATACTAGCGCATTCTATGCCGTTCACTATTCGGTACGTAGTCTTGTAACAGATTGGATAGAGCCGTCAGACCGTGGTGCATGGCACTGTGGTACGAGAGACAGTTGTTTTAGGCTAGCATTTCCCGGTGCATATGATCCGAGATATCGTACGATTCACTTATTCAACTCGTCGTCAGGTGTAGTTCTGCAACCTTGGAGGAACTCATGTCCCTTCTGAGATTTGGACCCGCGTCACCCAGTGCCGCAGCCAGAGACGTTACCACTGAGCTATTCAGGCTCGCGATTAACATCCTGTAGGACTGTAGTGGGTCCTTTATTGAACGTATCTAGTCCTTTCTTTGATGCAG